CAGAAACTTTCTGTAGCTTTACAAAATATATGGCATTTTATATGTGAATAGAAACTTCATTGGAAGCCTTAAAAAACAAGTGTTTTTTAAATAAAAAATCATTTCTAGAGAGGATCGACTCATTGAATTTCCTGAAAGTATCTTAATTTTCTCCCATACTTCCCCATCTCCTCTTAAATTATTTTTTTGAAGTTTTTGGGTTATTTTTATAGTTATTTTGTTGTGAGTTTTCCAAGCTTCTTTGCAACAAATTGTACTAGTCTATTATAGAGATTATGGACAAGATGTTTAAAGATATATCCTTTTTATTTAAAGGTCTTTTTGTTATAATTTAAGGAAGAATATATAGGTGAAATTGAGTCCTCTGTTAATTAGAAGTCATAAACACAATTATACAGTAATTACAGTGAAATTCAGATTTTAGAAGTTAAAATCTGCCTTCTTCATATGCTTTGGGCATTTGGGGGCCTTAATTTATCAGTAGCACAAATAGTAATATTAACTAACAGGCATGTTATAAAGTGAAATTAGGTAATTCATTACTTAGTTGGAATAATGTTTTGTGTCCTTAAAATAATATTAACATTTATTCTGTTGCAGTTATTATTTTTCTGATTCATGTTGTATCATTCATACAGACTGTTAATTATTTATATGACGGTTACTTTCAAACATGAAGAATTCCAGAATGTTTTTAGATTACAAAGGAGAGAAATATGGATTTTTTTTTACCTTCACATATCTTATCCTAATTACTTATCACAGTAACGTGTGAAGCCTCGCTTATTTTATCTCTATGTGTATGAGGCTTCTGATAGTCAAAACTATAAGTAGTTTGTTCAAGGTAACAATTGCAAAATTGGAGTGACAAGGTTAAATTCATGTCTGTAAATGCTAAGACTTACTCTAAAGTTCTCTTGCTTCCATGAATAGTTTTACCTTTATTGTCATAACTGTTTGACACCTTGACGTTTCAGCATGTCTTTAGATAGTATGATGTAACAACCTTCTCATTCTCCAGCTCAAATTTTCTTTTTTTTATTCAAGATTTTAGAGCAAGTAGTTGAAGAACCAAAGAGTCCCCAAAACTGTGCAGTGGGCAGCGTGTTGCAACTTTTAGTTTATAATCTAAATCCATTGTAGAAGAGAAGGACAATTAAAGAGATTCATTTATTCAGTCAACACATTGTTTATCCACTCTGTGGTAGACACTTTTGTAGGAGCTAGGGATACATCAGTAATCAGAGGCGATAAAACAACTTGTTCTCTTGGAGCGTATCTCTAGTGGAGGGCACAGACAAGAACAAGGAATATCAATAAGTCAATAAGTATATACGTATATATTTTAGGTAAGTGCTAGGGAGAAAAAATAGTTCAGGAAAAGTAATAGAATCAGAATGGGAGAAGTCTGTTTGCAATTTTAGATAGAGTGAATCAGGAAAACCGTCTGTGAGAGGTGACCTTTGAATGAAGGACTGAAGGAAGGTAGCAGGTAAGCCTTGCAGATATCTTTTGGAAGAGCATTTTAGGCCAAGAGCACAGCACCCGCAAAAGCTCTGAGGCTGGAATGGTGGTTGATATATTCAAAGAACAGAGCAGGCCCACTGGGGTGGAATGAACCGAGTAGAGGGGAAGTAGGAAATTATGCGCAGGGGTACAGATCTTCTAGTGCGTTGCAGAACTTGGTGACGACTTTGGTTTTTACTTTTATTGAGATGGATGGGAGACATTGGATGCTTTCAGCAATGAGTCATCTGATTTATGTATTTTTCAAAGTCTTTCTCTTCTGGTGAATATAGAAGGGGGAGAATATGAAGGTCAAAGTAGGGAGGTCAATTAAGAGGCTATTTTTAAAAATTAGGTGGCTCAAACTAATTTGGTGCAGTTGAGGTGGTAAAAGGCTATCAGAATCAGACGGCAGACCTACAAGATTTCCTGATGGACTGAGCGTATGTGTGAAAGAGAGAAATCATGACTCCTAAGTGTTTGGCCACAACACCTCAGAGAATGAAGTTGCTGTTTATTGAAATGGGGAAAGCAGAGGGAAGAGCAGATTTGAGAGGGTGGGGAGTGGAGAAACAGGATAAGATTAGGGGCTCAGTTGTGGACATACAATCTTTCATACCTTTTCAAACATTGAAGATTAAATGGATGGTAAAGCTATACTGACATAAGAGGTTTCAGCTCTAAGACAACTTGGTCTGAGTGGGATTATTCTAATCACTCAAAAACAAATATTTATTAAGCATTTTTTAATGTGTCAGGCCGAGTACTAGAGGTAGGGCATATTAACAAGGTATAAGATTAATAGATCTCAAGGCACATATTGGTATATAGTTCATGTAACAGACAATTGAGTCACATAGTGCTCACAAGCGTGGAACCTCAGAAAGAGGAATACTTGATCCAAGATCACACAATCACCCTGTTAAATTATACCTAGGAGTTGTATTCAACTGGCCATCATCTTGAAGCTGGTTTGGTTCTTTTCATGGCTTGGCCCCCTGGAAGTTCTAGTATTTTAGACTATTATGAAGAAGGCTATGCTAACAGCTCTTACTGGAACTTCACCTCCATTGTTCTTTTTGTGTTACTGATAAAATTCTAGTTGAGTGCTGTGTGCAGAGCAGTGCTATCACAGTGTGGTGTGCACAAGATGTTGGTAGTGATGTTTTCTGAGCTAGACAGTCATATCTGAAAGGTGAATTAATCACTAGACTTTTTTTGTTTTCTTTGAGTGCTATGTACTTTTTGTACTAATGTTTTGACATCTGGCATTCTTCTCTTAATAACGCTCCATGGGGTTTCTGAAGGACCTATGAAGGCCCTGAGTAAAGTAAATACATTTCTAGTAATGCAGCTACCCAGAGAGAGGCAGGAGTTTTTTGGTTCCTATTTTTCTTTTTTCCTTTAAGTATTTGAGGTCTTTAGGATACATTTGAGAATGTATTATACCTGCCATTTTTCCCATTATGGGAGACTGCTGTGCTGAAGGTTGGTGCTTGATACTCAATCACAGCATCTTTCCTTTGAGTCAAAGTAGAGAGCAAATAGCCCTCTGTTCAGGGAACCAGGTGGCACTAACCACTCTCTGCTCTCAAATAGTAAAAGTAATTTGAGCTATCAGAGACCCAACACTACTTTAGTTGTATCCCCTGGAACAATGCAGTTAAAGCAAAATTTCATGTGGTTTTCTTTCATGATTGAGCTCCTTCTGAGAAATATATCTAGAGTTATGCAGGAATATTTTGAAGCTGTTTCATTGACAGTGTTCTAGCAGAGTTTTTTATCAAATAACAACTGTGAAGTCATGTCTGGCAATATGAGAAGTGCTCTGATTCAGGTTACAGCATGGTACCTCAGTTGTAAGAAGAATTTTCACATTCAAAATAACCTTATATGAAGTTTGTATAAAACATAAAAGTGTGAAGTTTGAGTAAAAACAAATACAAATGGAAAACCTGGATATTTACCTATATTTTAGGGAAAGCCGACATTGTGGAAGACAATAAAATGTACCAATTCCCATTCTAAATAAAAAATCTATTTTTTATGATTACACAGTTGAAAAGGGTGTCAATTAGAAACACATATTTTTGTTTTCTATTAAAATATTTCCCATCCATGTGTTACACTTTTAGTAGTTAGGCATATAGCCATAAAAACTAAATGCCATTGATTTGTGTATTTTAATATTTTATATAAAGAGTATGCCGTACAGATCCTTTCACAGTTTTAAAAAATATAGTATTAGATTTTTGAGAAGTATTCATGTTTGTGACTATTTGTATCCAGAACACTGATCTCCTACCACTCTTTAGAATATCATGCTACAAATTAACCCTTATTTGTTTATTCATTGCCCTGCTGATGGAAGTTAGGTCTTTAGGGTATTTTGAGAAACCTAGAAAGAAGAACTGATAGTCCTAGAGCATTTCTCACCTGTGCTCCAGCATCTTGGCACACTGATGTGCTAGGCTGCTATAAAGCCTAAAGCTTCATGGACGTGGTTTTGAGAGGAGGCAAACTACCATAGGGTAGAAATAGACTTTTGAACCTTAGAACAAGGATAGAAATGAGATAGTGGATAGACCAAGGAACATGACAGGTATGGATACACCAAGGAACATGGCAGGTATGGAGCTCACAGACTGTTTTAACAGAGGAAAAACAAAAACAAGAAAACAAAACAAAAAACACAGGTTTATACAAAAGTTTTCGTGAGCTTTTACGTTTTCTTAGCTCTACTGTCTGCCTTTTGCTGTTATCAGGTATAAAATTCTTAGCGCTTATATTCCATCTGCGTCTATAATACGCTCCGTTCCTGCAAAACCCTTCAAGTCAAACTTCCTGATCTCCTTAAGCCACTCAATATGAATTTAAATCCAGGAATATTCTCATTCTTTTAGATTTTCCACTAAATAAATGGTACACGTATGTGGCAATTTATCAGAATTAACTGAAAGTCTTTATAAAAGTACATACTTTTTTGAACTCAACCTTGGAAACTCTGACCAGTATTTATAGGACAGAAGAATTATATTTTTTTATAAAAATCCCGCAGTGATTCAAAAAGCATTTCAGTTGAGATACCACTATGCTAAGTGTACAGCTTAATTTTGAAATAGAGTATTTCTGTAGTGAGAGTCGTCAAAAAATTAGCCTAAGAAGTGATATGAGTTAAAAAAACAAAGTTATTTTGAAGCCTTTGGCCATAATTAAGTTGATTTGCGTCAACTATTTATATTCTGAAAATGTCCGTCGCTAAGAAAGGTGCAAACACTATTGACATCCTTGAATATCAAACTGATGTACACCTCAGAAAAAAGATAAAGTGTTTTACCTATGGACTAGAAAACCCAAATAATTCTCTTTTCCATTGTGTATGTGGAGAATATTTAGTACGTGATTAAAATGACACCTCATTCATCCAGGCCTTAGAACTCTTTATAACTGGTTATGCATAAATGCAACTTGCGGCTTCTCTGTTGTGTTTCCAGCACAGTGATGCGGTCCACGACCTTCTTCTGGATGTGATCACGTGGGTTGGAATTTTGCTGTCCCTTGTTTGTCTCCTGATCTGCATCTTCACATTTTGCTTTTTCCGCGGGCTCCAGAGTGACCGCAACACCATCCACAAGAACCTCTGCATCAGTCTCTTTGTAGCAGAGCTGCTCTTCCTGATTGGGATCAACCGCACTGACCAACCGGTAAGCAATTTACGTTGATGTGAGCAAAGAATTGCTCCACTTGCAGCTGCCCAATAGTGGAAATACTCATGTTTGAAAATACCCCCTCTTCCAAGTATCTAAGATTGATGGTACATTCAGATGTTCCTCGGTTTTCACCTTTTCATGTCCCATCATCATGAAGAAGCAGTGAATGTTATGGATGTATCAGTGTACATTTCTTCAGAAATTTTGTTTGTAAACTTATCTTTCTCAAGAATTATGTCTCTTTATTAGTCCCCCCCCCCCCC